CATTTATCTATGAATGAGACTAAGCAGCCATTTATATCCATAAGAAACTTTCTGATGCCAAATCTTGCAATAAAAACAAGAAAAAGAAAAGAAAAGAAAAGAAAAAATTAAACTGAAACAAAAACTACCCAACACCTTCTCTAGATTCGCAGAAAAAGTTATTTTACCAGTTCAGGCTAAAAAAGAAGGAACTTCACTAACCTTGTGGCTCATGCGAATCTTTTTGCTGCAAAAAGGAAAAAACCCAGATGAAATCAAGCAGTTGAAATTAGGTTTCTAACCCAGAAATCGACATTAGAGGACAAAAGATAAACAAGCACCTTTCAGAGTCGGAAGTGAGGAATTGGCCATGGATAGAACTGAAGAGATCTAAAGAGTGCTTAAGAGCTTTGAGGCTGAGCTTCTTCAGTGATTGTGGCTCCACCGGTTCCATCATCACCGTCGGGCCCGGCATCCTATCTCGAACCTTAGACTAAAGCTGACTGAGATTGAAAAACAGCAGACCTCTTAAACCTCCACTCCCTGCGGTGAAGGATTAATGCTATTGCGGCCGACGGCCCCTTATGCCGACGGAACGCCAGTCACGTCCGTTTGATTCCCTTGACCTTGAGGCAGTAACTAAAATTCCTAACTCCTCAAGTTTATAGGATTCTAACTTTTAAGTTCCTGTATTTAAAAGACATCATTTAAGTCTTTAAAATAAAAATAGAAAATCAAATGAGATTATTTTAATTTAGGCCATTAGGATTTAGATTTTTTAGAGTTTTGTACTTGTAATGTTAGGGTTTAGTATTTAATGTGTTAGGGTTTAGGCTAGAATTCTTTGTTTTGCAATGATGATTGGAAAAGGAGAAAACTGTCAATATTAAGGAGCTTGTCAGTTTTTTATCAAATAGTTTTTTATTTGGTCTATACAATAGTTTTTCATTTAGATTATATTTTTAAGGGTAAAGTTATGAGGTTCTAATTAAAATTTTTTAGAGTTTAGGTAATTTTTTTTTAATTTGATATTTAGGATGTTAGCGTTTAGGTTTTTTACGGTTCAATATTTTAAGGTATTGGGGTTTAAATTTTTTTGGATTAAATGTTTAGGGTGTTAAGGCTGTGGTCGTTTTGGAGTTTTTGAGGCAATTGATAGCTTTGGACCCTAATAAGCTAAATATGTGTTTAGATATAATTTTTTATTAACTGTTAGAAAAATTAGTTAACAACCATTATATTTCAACTAATAACCATTCACACTTTTAATAGTTACATTTTCCAACAACTATCCCAAGTAGCTATTTTAAAAAAAACTGAGTGTGTTTTTTTATTAATTATTAATTGTTAATTATCAATTATTTACTAATATTATTTTTTATTTGAGAGTAATTGAGGCAATAAATTTTTTTTTGACTAATTAAATTACAATATTTAAAAACATTATAATTTAATTTGTTAAAAAACCCTTCCCTCCTCCCTCTCCTCAACCTAAATATACTATAAATTTCAACAGCTAATCCATACCTATGGATTGTGCTAGCAATCATCACACACAAACAACCTCATGTCAATTTTGGGCATAAATAAGAAAGTTAGGACCAAATCGAACATTGTTAAGGACATAGGGATTCCATTGTGAAGAAAAACACCCGACTGTTGCCTTACTATTGAATTTCAGGCCCATCGTTTAGTAACATTTCCGAGTAGTGATCACGGAGTCAGTGACCCGTCTCTTGCAAGGGTTTTAGAAACGTTATTATAAAAATTAAAACCCAACCTGCAAAGCACTATACACTGCGCTAAAGTAACACTTCCGCTTCTCTTCTGCGAACATCAATTTCAATTCCACTGATTTCTCACCTCGAAATCTCTTTCAGTTTGCATTCCTGAGATAGAATTACAGTAATCAATCAAATGGAAGTCAAGCGAGACGATTTGTATCACAATCAGTTTGTCAAAAAACCAAGGATGAATGACGGAGATTCTATTGACCTGCAAAAACTCGCCGCTCCGGTGAAATCCGCTGTCGATAAGTACCAGCTTGTCCCTGAGTTCTTGAAGGTACAAGGAACTGTGTTATCTGTTTATCTGTGGTCCTATTGAGTTGCTAATAATTCGGTTTTGTAGGTGAGAGGATTGGTGAAGCAGCATCTGGATTCGTTTAACTACTTTCTTCGAACCGGTATAAAGAAGATTGTTCGTGCCAATGATCGAGTCGTGTCTGATGTCGATCCGAGTCTTTATCTCAGGTTTAAGAGATTTATCATCTACTTTAGGATTAAATTAGTTGTTTAGAATGTGAATATTCAAGAAAAATGTAGGTGTAGTTTGATATGTGGTTTGTTGAAAGTTGCATTTTGTTTAACTCCGATGTAATCTGAACTCTTAATCCATAATTGTGCTGCAGATTCAAAGATATTAGGATTGGTGAGCCATCTATGACCATCGATGGAGTCAGTGAGAAGCTTAATCCTCATACATGCCGGTTGTCTGACATGACGTAAGCAGATACTGTCTTAAATGCATTTCTTGTAATTTGTTAGTTAAAGTGGTGTCATCATTTAGTATATGTGTGCTTTTAGTTCATCTATGCTTGAGTCTGTGACAAAGTTTCATTGGGAGAGTGAGGGTGGTAAACATGTAGATGTAGATTGGTTTTAACTTATTGAAATTCGTGAGAATTCTAGGTATTCTGCACCGATAATTGTCAATATAGAGTACATTCGTGGAAGTCATCACCCGAAACAGAGAGTGGACAAGGTAATTGAGGGAATTTACTCATGTTTGTTGTGGACTGTAGACATGGTGGATATGATGAAAAGTTTGTTCTTGCAGAATGATGTTGTTATCGGAAGAATGCCTATCATGTTACGGAGTTGCTGCTGTGTGTTAAATGGAAGAGATGAGGCTGAACTTGCAAAGCTTGGTCTCTGCACAAAACTCAATTATGTTGTTGCTGGTTGTGTTTGGCTCTCTTTTCTTTTTCTTAAATATGATTTTGTTTTCTTTGTTTGACTTCAGGTGAGTGCCCCCTTGATCCTGGAGGTTATTTCATCATTAAAGGAACAGAGAAGGTGATTCGGGCTGCCTTTCACTTTATACTCTCATTTTGATGATTTCATTTGATAATATGTTGAATATGATAACCTTTGGTAGTTCTACTTATTTTCTGCATTATCTGACTTCTTAATAGTAACATATTGTGACAGCATCTTGTTTTCTGCACTTCTATGTGATTCTTGCAAAAGCTCTTTTAGTTTCACATGTCTCTCATTGACTTCTGAAAGGATGTTTCACTTTTGAACTCTTTTTCATGTTTGTATTTCCTTGATTTGAATTTTTACTATTTGAATAATGAGACCCTACTAATCTTTTTCAGGTGCTTTTAATACAAGAACAGCTTTCAAAGAATAGAATAATTATTGATACCGACAAGAAGGGGAAGTGAGTTGTTCATCTTGTCTTTCTTATATCTCTTCAATATTTTGTTTCTAACGCAATAGTTGCTTTTCCAATTGATGATTTGCCAGAGGTTTATTTCAGATTCTTGGGGCCTATAAGCCAAAATTCCACATTTGAAGCTAATGGAAAGAAAAAAGATTGTGTTGGTAGATTTATGAGTTTGATAAAATTCCTATTAACTGCCAAAATTATCCACAAACATTCTATATAATTTAGGATTACAAAAAGTTATTGAATAACTCTACTCAAAGGTCTTGAGGGGTGTCTCAAGTGGTTAAGAACTTAAGATTCCAAGTTGGAGATCTTGAGTTTGAATCTTGAGGCAGGTGGGGAGGGATATATAGTCCATCAATTGAGATACCAAAAAAAAAAAAACTGTACTCAAAGAGCACTTCTTTGAAAATTTTAGCTTCGCTAAATGGGCTTGAAGTCTGGTTTGTGTTTTCTTGATGTATTTTTCTCTCTTCAAACACATTTTACTTGTTACTCTGTTGGTAGAGTGTCTGCTCTTATTGATTTTTCTATTCCTTTAAATTTGTTATAGTTGTTATCATTGGTACCTTTTTTCGTTAGCTGTTAACACGCATTTCTTTTTTCTTATCTTTCTTTCAGTATAATTGCATCTGTTACAAGTAGCTCTGAGGCAACTAAGAGCAAAACAGTTATTTCTATGGAAAAAAACAAGTTTTTCTTAGAACTCAACCAGTTTTCAGGAAAGGTAAAATGGTCTTATATTGCACCTTTCTTTTTGTAATATTTATGTTCTTATTATAGTTTCAGTCTTAGTTATTCCAAATATTAATTACATACATTTTTGTAGATTCCTATCATGGTTGTCATGAAAGCCATGGGGATGGAGAGTGATCAAGAGGTTGTGCAGATGGTTGGAAGAGATCCGCGATTTAGTGCCTTACTTTTGTCTTCTATTGAGGTAATCTCTAAGGTTAAGGAGTTAAAGTCCTTCGTGATTTTGTGCATTTGTTTGTTTGGTTGTTTGTTTTAAAAATGAGAAACAATCACAAAAAAGGAAAATTTCTTGGTTAGTGATATGTTTGCCCCCAAACTTTACCCCTATTTTCATTTTTAGTCTCTCTCCCTCTCCTTAAAAAACTTGCAACTGATTACCTCAAAGTAGTTATATTAGTTGCAAAGAGTTAACATAGATCTATAAATTCATCAGATACAGGAGTGGGCATACAAATAAATGAAAGAAATAGAAAAGGCCAAAATTTTCTTTTGTAAAATTTTTGAAGGATTTAGTTTCTCAACACATATGCAATCAGTCTCAACTAATATGTGTTAAGGCTTTAAGTTAAAAATGTTATTAGCTGGTGAGACTTTGTCAAATTGCTCTGTCTTGTCTGAATTCTTGCATTCTGAATTGTTTGTAGTCTTGTTTCCTGATTGTAGTAACTCAGTCTTGATATATAAATCATTTGACGTGAAGTCCTAGGAGAATTAATATGTTATTTATTTATTGATTTTTTTTTTTTTTGTTTTCTAGAAACACTTGATAGTTTACTTGTCAAGCTTTGGCTTCGTATGAGTCATTTGCTTTCCTCATTTATTATGGGTCTCTCATCTTATTTATTTATTTATTTTTTTGGCCTTTCTCATCTCATTTATTGTTCTTAACCTTTTTGTTGTATATGTTGCTTTAATTTCAGGATTGTGCAAATTGTAGTGTATATACCCAACAACAGGCATTGGAGTATCTTGAACCAAAGGTGTAGCATTTTTGCTTAGCTTCTGCAATATTACTTGAACTTGAAGATTTTTTCATTTATGGTTTATCACTATGTTTGGTGCATTAAAATAGACCTGAAGACAAACCTTAGATGATCTATATTATTTGTTTATTTTTTTTTAAGGTTATTATATTTTTATTAGTTGTATGAGTCTTTCTCAAAACAAAGAATAGTTTAACTCTCTTCTATGCATAGTCATTTTAAATGCCTTTTCATGTCATGCTTTTGGATTTTGAATATAATGTTGCTGTTGTTCATAGATTGCTTAATCAATAACAAAGGGTGTCTATGCAAGAGCTAAGGATAATAGGTAGTGGAGTTACATAAGTAGGGTTATAATGGGTTCTATTATTAAATCTAGGGTGGGATCCAATGAAGACTTGATAAGTGGGATATGCTTTAAAGGTGATTTGGGTTGGTGGATTAGGTTTGGGGTTCCTTCTTTATTCCATCTCTCTGCACCACATTAAATAAATTATTGCTTCAACTAATTGCAATTGAATATATATATATATATATATATATTTTAAAAAATTTATTCATTACGAGTGCAAGGGGTACTTTTAACTCAAGCACAACCAAAATCACAACAATCAATTGACTAAGATACTTAACCACGCATTTTGTCAAAATAGACTCCAAAACACAAACTCACCCTACAGCTACGAATGGAAACCTACCTGATACAAAAAAGAGTTACTAATTGCAATTGAACATTAGTGTTTAAACTGAACATTGAATTCACATTTATTCTTTTGGGTTAATTCTTTTTGCTGCTGCTTACACAGGTGAAGAAGACTATGTTTTACAATCCTTCATCTCAAAAGGTATTCCCATTCTCTGTCTTTTTGCATGTGTTTGCAACACACCTTAGTGGACATGCACAAAGTATGTACGTGCATGCACTCATATAGATATTTTCTTATTTTGCAAACTAACAGGCATTAATGTTTCTTTTGTAGGAAGGAAGATCTCTTGCCATCCTCCGAGATGTATTTCTTGCCAATGTTCCAGTAGGTTTACTCAACATTAAGATTTGAGGCAGTTTTTCATATCAATACTTTGTTCCTTTAACTTCGCTCCTTTAATTAGGTCCGTCAAAATAATTTTCGTCCAAAATGTTTGTATGTTGCGGTGATGCTCAGAAGGATGCTGGAGGCATTTTTAAATAAGGATGCAATTGATGACAAGGTAAACTGGTTGTTTTTGTCCGCATGAATTTTTTTTCTCTTTTATGTTTTGGAAAATATAGAGCTTTATCATAACTGAAAGAAAAAGAGCCATGGCTATGTGGCTGTTTATTGGAGAAGGTCAGTGAAATAAATAGCAGATAGTGTTTTCTTCTTTTTAATGATGTAGGAGAGGGATTTGGCCTTAGAGCCTCCTATTTTGGAGGAAGGTGTTGCCACCAATTAGGCTTTTCCTCATGAAGTCACTAAGCATAACTCTTAATTCTTTGCTCATTTGGAAAATACTAAAAGGATTGGGGAGGTCAGTTATTGTATGTGTATTAGGGTACATCTTAAGAGATTCTTTGGATGAAGCTCTAAAACTTATATCCTGTAAGACTTGTATCGATTTCCCAATTTAAGGTACTATGTGATTCAGAAGAATGGATTTATATTTTAATCACAAGCAAAGCACCACTCTAATTTGATCTGTCTGCTTGAATGAGAGTCATGTGGGCTCAAGTAGAAGCCTTTGCATTTTGAGGAATGCATTTCTACTTTTATGGGGTTCTCTGCAAATAAACTAGTCAGCATTTAGGTGGTTTTGATGCCATATTTCATTTTCCTCCTTTAGGTGGGAGGGCGTATGTTGTTCTGATCTCCTCCCCTTAGTGAGTGGGTTGAGTGATTTGTCCTTTTTCAAAATTTACTATGAATTTTCTTGGATGTGTGGAAGTGTAGAAATTGATATATTGTTACCATCATTAACATGCTTCAGTTTAAGCAAATGCCTTTTTTGCTTGTATGCAAATGATGGTTCTAAATTTGTTTTACAGGATTATGTGGGGAACAAGCGCTTGGAGTTATCTGGACAATTGATTTCTCTACTCTTTGAGGTATTATTTAAGATAACAATAATACCTGAAAATATTACATTACCTTTTCCATCTCCCTTTGCTATATAAAATATTATTCATGCTTAACATATTGTTCTTAGTAGCTCTTTCCGCTGTTGTGGTGGAATTCATATTGCAGGATTTATTTAAGACGATGATTAGTGAGCTTAAAAAGACAATTGATATTACCCTATCAAAGACTAACAGAGCTAGCACATTTGACCCTTCTATTGTAAGTTGTGGGAATTGTCCCATGAAATATTTGTTACTTTTTTAACTTATCAATTATCAAGCATAGGTGTCATTCATATCTATTGAGAATGAATAAGGACTACCTCATAAAAGCTATGCTTGCATGTTGCCTGTTTATTTGTTCCAATCAGTCTTGTATTTTGGTTTCTGGTTAGGCTTTCTGAATGTTTCCTATGATATAGTTCTTTGATTATTTTCTCTCCTTTATAAATTGTAGTTTTTACGTAGTAAAGATAGCATCACTGTTGGGTTGGAAAGGACCCTTTCTACTGGTAACTTTGATATCAAGCGGTTCAGAATGCACAGAAAAGGCATGACACAGGTATACTTTTACATCCTCCACTGCTGTCCATTTGATTTTGCTCCTTCAATTTCTTGTTCATCACAAAAAACTGATGGAATGTCTTCAACTGTTAGGTGCTAAACAGGTTATCCTTCATAGGGACTTTGGGCCACATGACAAAAATCTCACCACAATTTGAAAAGTCTAGGAAAGTAAGTGGACCAAGGGCATTGCAACCAAGTCAGGTAAGGATTATTGCTGCATTTATATACTTTAACTACTTGATAATTGTTGGGTTGAGATTTAGGCTTTTCCTTGTTTAGTTGGTGATTTATTTCCCATACATGCACTTGCCACAAGCATGCTTTACCCCTAGGATACTCCATTGGATAAAGTTTGTATGTGTGATAATGTATATGTGTGTGTCGATTTTCCCCCTCTTATATTATATTTTTGTTACAGTGGGGAATGCTTTGTCCTTGTGACACTCCAGAAGGTGAAGCTTGTGGACTGGTTAAAAATTTGGCCCTAATGACCCATGTCACAACTGATGAGGAAGAGGGCCCCTTGATATCCTTGGTACTTTTTATTCAAATTTCTTTGGATTTGTTATTGTCTTGTCAAGGTAACATTACTTTAAATTAAATAATGTTGAAACATTTAAGGGGTGGAAATAAGCAATTAATAGGTGTTAAATTGTCACTTGAAAAATTTTTGGCAATAGAATGTATGATTATCTAACAACAAAGTTATTTAGTTCAATTTAATTAAGATTTGATCACAAAAGAAAGGCTGGAATTGATTGAACGGGTGTGGAAGTGACATACTTAAGAGAGTTTTACTGACAGGATGCTGTGTCTGAAATTCTGTAGAAAGGTTTTGTTTTAATCAAATAACATGAAATTTGTGAGTGCAGAGGGAAGAATGGAGAATAGGTGAATTCTAAAATGCTGAACTAATATGTAGGACTATTACACCCATTTGTATTTTCAAATTTATAATTATGATTTTCTCTATGTTAGTGCTACTGTTTGGGTGTTGAAGACTTGGAGTTACTATCTGCAGAGGAGCTTCACACACCTAATTCATATCTGGTTATATTGAATGGGCTTATTCTTGGCAAGCATAGAAGGCCACAGGTTTTATCATGTTCCTTTGAATTTATTTTTTATATTTTGTTTCTTGGCTTTCATTGAGAGCCAAGGAAGTATTGGCCTAGTGGCTAAGGACAATTCTGAGAGCCTGGGAAGTCCTGTTCAATGCATTTAAAAATCAGAAATTATTGTTGATCAATACTGTTCACCTCCCTTAAATGATTTCAATTCTTTACTTTTCCTTTTGGTGGTAGACTCATGCTTTTTATTGCAACTAAACTCAATGTATGAAAGAATCTTCGGACCAAAATTACAAAATAGTTTTTGACGACTTAACTTCAAGGAGGGGTCTGGTAGTCCAACTATGTTTTCTTGTAAATTGAGAGATCTATTTCATTGTCCTTATTTTAGGCATACTCTTGTGCATGTTGTTATTTGATAACCCAACAATAAGTAAAGATTGATCGATTTCATTTTCACAGCATTTTCTCATTGAACTTGTTAGTTATCTTATGATCACTGCCCATTCCTGTATTGTTTCTACACTTCCTCTGAAGAGCTTAAATCATGTTAATAATCTTTCCTGATAACTTTCAGATCTTTCACCAATACTTGGTTATTGAAGCTTATTTAAAAAAATTGCAACAACATCATTCAGTCTTTGTATTTTTGATAGTCTTTTTCTTGTTTTTTATAGCATTTTGCTCTTGCTATGAGAAAACTACGCAGAGCTGGTAAAATTGGCGAGTTTGTGAGTATTTTCATAAATGAGAAGCAGGTATTATGTTTATCCAAAGTGCAATTTCTTTTAATTTAATGTTATTGCAATTTTTTCACAGTTGTATGATAATGCTGTCAGTGGTCATCTATGTGAAATAATGCTGCCAAAATAACTTTCTCTTGAGGAAACTATCAAATCCAATACTTGTTAAAGCTGTTACAGTGACCATCACTTTTGAAAAGTGTTATGGGTTTTAAATCAAAAGATATATCATTGAACCTTCACCAAAGCTTTTTGTAGACCTGTAAAGCATGGAACAGCTTTCGATTGTTCATTGAAGTGGGGAAATTGTCTGTACCATGTGAAAATTTTATTCTGGAAACATATTTGTTGAGGCTACATCCATGTATAGGTTGTATTTTGACACCGTTTTCTAATTAGGAAAGCAAAGAGATGCCAATGCAAATTTTCTTTATATGATTTAAATTTTTTTTGTTTGCAACTTTTTCTAATGATAAATATATAATTCTGGAGAAATATTCATCAGAATTGTATTTACATTGCTTCTGATGGAGGACGAGTTTGCCGTCCATTGGTGATAGCTGACAAGGGAATATCAAGGATTAAAGAAAACCATATGAAGGAGTTGTTGGTAAGTATGCTTTACAGTATCCTATCAGAGGAGACTAATGTTATCAGCCATTAAAAAAGAAAAAAGAAAAAAGGAGAATAATGTTATTGGCCCGAAAAAAAAAAGAGAGGAGTACTAATTTAATTTTTTGTTCTTAGGATGGAGCACGTACATTTCAGGACTTCCTACGTGAAGGATTAATTGAATATCTTGATGTTAATGAGGAGAACAATGCTATGGTCTGTTCAATTTCTTTTTGAAGTCTTGCTAGTCTAATTGTATTTGTAGAGAAATATTGTCTATTAGGACATGATTAATGGTTTCTGCAGATTGCTTTATATGAAGAAGAGGCTACACCTGAAACAACCCACATTGAGATAGAGCCTTTCACTATCTTAGGTGTGTGTGCTGGCCTAATTCCATACCCTCATCATAATCAGTCACCAAGAAATACGTACCAGGTTTGCCAATATTTTTCTAGTATTTTGAGCAATGTTATCCAGTAAACTATAATGTTCTTTGTGATAAGTGCTTCTGTTGGTTATATAGTGTGCAATGGGAAAGCAAGCAATGGGAAACATCGCATATAACCAGGCAAGTGGTGTTATTTCATGCTTTATTTGTCAATTTTTTTTTTCTTTACCCTGATGATTTTTAATGAAATGGCTTTATTTTGGTTCATAATTTATTTGAAGGTTTTTTTTTTTTTTTTGGGCTAAGTTTACCCCTTGATCTTGCAGCTATGTCGGATGGACACATTACTCTATTTGTTGGTGTATCCACAACGCCCTTTATTGACAACTAGGACAATTGAGTTGGTCAGTAGTGTATCCATCACTGTGTGTGATAAACCATTGTTGCTTGTATATTAATTGCCTTTCCATCAGGTTGGATACGATAAGCTTGGAGCTGGTCAGAATGCAACTGTTGCTGTGATGAGTTATAGTGGTTATGACATAGAGGATGCAATTGTCATGAACAAATCATCTCTAGATCGTGGTTTTGGCCGTTGTATTGTTATGAAAAGGTACATGGCTCCAGCAACCCTAGGGAATAGAGATCTTAGTCTTTGATGTGATTGTATATTCTTTTTTTTCTTTTATGGCTCTAGTAACACTGCTGAAGCATTTGCAGTTACCAATCTCAGCTATTCTTTATGGAACAGGTATTCTGCTGTTAATCAAAAGTATCAAAATGGTGCATCTGATAGAATTCTCAGACCACAAAGAACAGGACCTGATTCAGAGAAGATGCAGGTAATGCATATTGGAGCATTTATGCCCCTCTTTATTTAAAATTTCCCATTCCAGTACTGATTGTATGACGTGTTGTGCTGGTTCTTATGAGCTAAATGATTGATGAATAATTTATCTTATTTTTTGAAATTTTTCCATGGTAAACTTTTTTTTTTTTAGTTGCAATTTTTAATCATTTTATTAGAAGGCACTTTATAGATTAAAAATTCAGTCTTAATCATGCATTTGTTATAATGATAATAGTAGATATTTATGTTCATGATCAAAATTATTTTTTCATTCCCAGGTTTGCTCTTCCACCTTTCACTGCCCTGTGTCTCTTATGTTTTTTACCCTTTTCCTTCTCTTGTATCATGTGTTCTTCTTGCTCTCTTATTTCTTATTGTGAAATTTCCTAGGTACTAACTGTCTAGGCCATTGAGGAGAGCGTCATACTTGATGTTTATAAATATATTTTAATATTTAATGCATTATTTGGAGATTTTGCATTTATTTCACTTTTAAAGTTCTTTGCTTAGATACTAGATGATGATGGACTTGCTGCTCCTGGAGAGATTATTAGACCCGGTGACATCTATATCAATAAGCAGTCCCCTATCAATACAAGAGCTCCTCATACTGGTCAGTTGGATAGGTAAGTTATATGTTTCTTAGGGAAGTTTTACTTGGTGTTTAATTGCTGCTATTTTTTTCATTTTTTAAATATCAAATGCAATATGCAGTGGATATAGATCTTCCAAGCAAACATTCAAAGGTCCTGAAGGAGAGTCTTGTGTAGTGGACAGAGTTGCTCTTTGCTCTGATAAGGAAAACAATCTATGTATTAAATTTTTAATACGCCATACACGTAGACCCGAGGTAAGTGCTAGCTTCATTACAGAATGCAGTGTTTTCATCACTAAAATTA